GACTGAGGACCATGGTTTCAGATTTGGAGGTGCTGATCTTCATCCCAACCGCTTCACACTCAGCTGCGAAATGCTCCAGTGAGAGTTGGAGAGCCTTGCTTGAAGGAGCCAACAGTACCACATCATCTGCAAAAAGCAGAGATGCAGTACTGAGGCCACCAAAATGGACCCCCTCAACGCTTCGGCTGCGCCTAGAAATTCTGTCCATAAAGGTGATGAACAGAATCGGCGACAAAGGGCAGCCTTGGCGGAGTCCAACCCTCACTGGAAACGATTCCGACTTATTGCTGGCAATGCGAACCAAACTCTGACATCGGCAGTATAGGGACCGAACAGCCCGTATCAGTGGGCTCGGTACCCCATACTCCCGAAGCACCCCCCACAGAACTTTGCTGCCACCAAATAAGGTAAAACATGCTCCACTTCTGTGTTCATTTGCCTGATTCAGTCGGATCAGGCAAATGAAGGAGCCGTTAATGCTACATGCTTGCAAAGTTAGGATTCGTGTTGATATCGTGCATCATAATCAAGAAAAAACGTTCTTACTGACGGGATGGCAACTACATAGAAGGTAAAATGAAGTCCACTATGAGTAACGTGTTGTCATTTTGTTGACAGGCCCTCAAGCTCATCACTGCTCGTGTCCTACCTCGAGCGACTCATGTAAAACATTCTGTGATGTAATGTAAACTAGCTGATGTTAACATAGTAGCCATGCTAATCAGCAACGTTATCTACTTCGGGAGCAAACTATTCAAATCTATTTATACAGTATAATGAATCTGTTGAAACAGGAAGTGGCTGGTTGCAATGAGTTTAGCAGCGATGTGGGACTCACGTGGCACTCACAATGACACAAGGCTGCACATTGCCGGTGCCCTGTTGGACTGAAGACTCGGGGGTGGAGGTGGGGGGAGAGAGAGAAAAACATCCCAGCTATAGCAAGTTGTGGAGGTTTTAAAAAACGGTGACAAAATTGTGGTATGTCATCAAACCGGTAACAGGCTCATGCTTACGCTTAGTGTTCATATGATCGGTATAAAGAAGCGCTGTAGAGAAAAGGCCAAAGGAGACTTTTTTTTTGAGGAGGGTCAGGGCTTTTGGCATGCAGGGGAACAAGGCAACAGCCATTTTTTCAGGGAATGCTTGGGTAACAGTATCTCAGTTCCTGACCAGGAACAGCTTTGTCCTGGGGTGCCATCTGGCCGCAGATTGCCAGGGAGAGGATAATGGGAGCAATGCTTATCCTTGCAAATGGACAATAAGTCCGACCCACAACAAGACCCAATAAAAATCAGTCAGTCAGCTCATTCATCCCCAATGTGTGAAGGAGTGGAACCTCAGGTCTGTCCATTCTTCTGTTGCCAAACTTTACAATCAAACCTCGATGACTCAGTGGCCAAGTGTTCAATTTTCAACTGCCCATGATCAGATGTATGACTTTGTATTTACTACTTATAATGTATAATTTAATTTGATCAATCAACCTTGTATAATTTATGTTTTCAGAATCTGAGTGACCTTAAAAGGTATGTTTTTGCTCAACCAAGTATTAAAATCAAACTTGGGAGGCTGAATGTGCCGTCAAGATATCAATTTGATTGCTGTGGACATGACAAATAAATTGATTTATTGATTTCCATTTAGGGCGGCCCGGTAGTCCAGTGGTTAGCACGTCGACTTCACAGTGCAGAGGTACCGGGTTCAATTCCAGCTCCGGCCTCCCTGTGTGGAGTTTGCATGTTCTCCCCGGGCCTGCGTGGGTTTTCTCCGGGTACTCCGGTTTCCTCCCACATTACAAAAACATGCATGGTAGGCTGATTGAACACTCGAAGTTGTCCCTAGGTGTGAATGTGAGCGTGGATGGTTGTTCGTCTCTGTGTGCCCTGCGATTGGCTGGTAACCGATTCAGGGTGTCCCCCGCCTACTGCCCGAAGACAGCTGGGATAGGCTCCAGCACCCCCGTGACCCTAGTGAGGATCGAGCGGTTCGGAAGATGAATGAATGAATGAATGAATGATTTCCATTTAATTCAGGTACATGACCAAAAATCTGACAAAGATAGGGATGGGATATAAGTATTTCATATTGGTCTATTAATACCGCATATTGAATTTTTAGTTTTTTAACTATTGAAAATAAGGACCTGGAGAAAAAAAAGGATGAATTTAGGTAATTTTATTTTAACATATAGTGCTTAATATTTAAGAATTCAATGCATAAATATTTCATATCAATCAATATTTATAATTACAGATAATTACGTTTTATTAACCTATCTAAAAGGGCGGGGGAAACTGTTTTAGTGTAAATTGTAATCCAGTGTAATGAGAAAAGTTGTGACATTTTAAATGCTTTTCTGCTTGATGCTACCCCAAACCATCATTAACCTTCATTCAATGTTTATGCTGTCATGAACGCAGGCGGTGGAGGACCTCAAAAAGCAGGCAGGAGGGAGGAGCAAGGGGAACTTGACAAAATGTATTCATAAAACACTGAAAAAACTAAATCCAAAACCAAGTCCTGAAAAACAACACGAAACCAAAGTAACAAACAAAAAGCCATGGCAGACGCAAAAACGAGGTGAAAGCAATACAAACGACAATCCATGGCAGTATCGCACAATCATAAACAGAAAACACGAACAGAAACACTAACAAAATACACTGACAGAAACAATGACCCGACATTGAGTGGTCGGGCAGGGAGTGCTTTAACAGAAAACTAATGACACAATGACCAATACGTGTGCAGCTTCAGCACGAGCCCTACACTGCCACCTGTTGGTGACAAACAGATCCATGACACATACAACATACAGTAAGTGGAGTGAACTAATACCCTCTTGCAGTGCATGACCACCCGTCTTAGGACTACTTATTTGAGTGAAGTTACGCAGCGTAACTTCACTAAAGAACAAAGAAAAGAGTAAAGAATAAAAATAATGGTCATTTAATTTTTAACTGTGTCCTCTTTGTCCCCCCCCACCCTTTTTAGTCCATGTTCTCTCTCAGAAGTGATTTTTGCCTGCCGTTTTGTCAAAAACTGATCCAAGTTCTGTTTTGTTTCCATTTTGTCAAGAACTTTGTCGGCTTTTAACAATCCTTTGAAAATGTCCAAGGCAAACATCAGCATAGTGAGCGATCACCCGACTGGTGAAACACTTTTTCTGGGTGATTCACATTTAAGTAAAACTATCGGAACACCTCATGGCCCGAGATGCGAAAGACGAGGACGCTGCATCGACACAAATCTATCTATTTACACACATTGACACATACGGTAAGAGGTCCCTCTTAGCCAATGGGATGTCAGTAAGATGCTCGGTAATAGCCAATGGCAGGGCAGGTCTAAGTTTGTTTGTTGCGTTCAGGAAAGTTGGAGCTGCGAGTAGCAGGCCATACTGTATTTTCATCTTTCATATCTTGAAATTTATTTCGTAACAAGAGGTATTATTTTCCTGTTGAGATTTTTCGTAACTTGAAAATTTTGTATGAAGAGACGTTCGTAAGTCGAGGTACCACTGTATTTGTATATTTTTCACTTTAATGGTTGCTGCTTCTTTGGTGAAATTTTAAATATCGCTATTGTGACAATCTGAGTTGGCACATAAGATGAATAAAGTTCAATTTGTCTGTCCGCCCATTCATCCATGTGGGGCCAAAAACTTGATTTTTTTTTTTTTCTGGACAGTGTTATAAAATTGTGTAGAATGAAAAACAGATGTTTTTATGTTTACATTGATGTCAACACATGAACAAACCTTTTCTAAATGTAGATTCATCCATCGAGTAAAGGTCCTCTTCTGAACCACTTCTCTCTCAACTGCAACAATGACATGAAGACAAAAGATTTTTATGAAAACCAAACTGTTTCAGAAGGACTGGAATAAGAGGCAATAATTACCTTGCAATATATATTAAGAATGCATGATAATTATTGTTCCGATATTGGATATTTTTTTTATTTTTTTTGTGGTCCAATACTGCAAATTAGGTCGATATTGAAAGCTGCATCAAATATAGTGACGTACAACCAGCCAAAATCTCCTAGACTATAAAAACAATACAGTAATCCCTCATTTATCGCGGTTAATGGGGACCAAAACCACCCGCGATAAACGAAAATCCGCCAAGTAGCGTCCAATTAGTCCGCAAACGGTCCGCGAGAAACCTCAAAACAACAGCGAGTCACATAGAGCAACATATACAGTACTGTATACTTCATATATATTAAAAAAAAAAAAAAAATCCTTTACATTTTTTTTTTTATATGTTTGAAAAAATCTGCGATGCACTGCACCCGCGATAAACGAACCGCAAAGTAGCGAGGAATCACTGTATTTATTATTTTTAGAAATATTGAAACTTCACAAGCAGGCTAAAATGATGATTCCATGCAGTTAGGTATACAGTAGGTGTGTGTGAGACTTGTCTCATCTATAAACTGCATGATTAATTTATGACCTCATTGAATGCACCCAGAGGCTAAGAAGGTTGCTTGTCATCAAATAATTTTTACACTCATTAAACTTTGAAGTTACATCGTTTGGATGAGTCCCACTTGCGAACCTCCCTGTAGGGCTCTCAACTTATTCTGTTCAGTTAGGTGTCTGTATATCAGGCAAGGCAGACAGACTTAAGCAGTTTGGCATGGCAGATTTAAGATATTTTATAAGTAAGTTTTGGCTTACTCCGACTGTTTGGACATTGTTTACGTCTTCTTGTTGCTCCAAACACAATTAAAAGTGCTGTAATGTCGAGGGAGTGCACTAGCTGTCCACAGAGAGCCGGTCTGTCAAGTCAAGTCACATTTATTTATATAGCCCTTAATCACAAACAGTCTCAAAGAGCTTCACATGCCCACAGTTGACAAGCATCCACGACATCCCCTGGCCTTAACTCCCAGGAGGGCAAAGAAACACTAAAAAAAAACATCTGGGGAAAAATTAGAAATCTTGAGAATGGGCCGCAAATGGGAGAATGCCCCTTCCAGGATGACCAGGCTGCAATGGATGCCAAGTGGGCAACCATTGCAGCCATACAATGTTATTTACAATGATATACAATCCATTTAACAAGATAAAAACGCTGGTCCGTGTGTGTATGGCTCTTACACTCTGCCCACCAAAAAGCAAAACGTAAGATCCAGCCATTTTCTACTCCATGTATCCTCATGAGGGTTGCGGGCATGCTGGAGCCTATCCCAGCTTTCTTCAAGCAGTTGGCGGGGTACAGCCTGAACTAGCGGCCAGCCAATTGCAGGGGACACATAGATGAACAGCCATTCACGCCCACATTCACACCGAGGGACAATTTATAGTGTTCCATTAGCCTGCCCTGAATGTTTCTGGAATGTAGGAGAAAACTGGAGCAGCCCAGAGAAAACCCCCGGGGCCGGAATCAAACCCTGCACCTCTGCACTGTGAGATGGACCAGTCGATCATCGTGCTGCCACAGTGTGTAATATAAAAGTAATCTATTACCGCTCCAATTTGTGATGGTTCTGTTTTGTTTTGGTTTTCAGTTTCCGGTGGGAGTGGAGGGCATATCCTCCATCACCGCACCTGCCATGAGTTATCATCAATGGACTACTTAAAGACTGCCACGCCGACAATTTGCTTTTGGATTATTGGCCTTGGTCACAACTCTTATTCTCCAGATGCTCATAACCTTGTTCATGCCGCTCATGTTCATGTCATAGTTTATCACATTTTGTAAGTAGTGTTACTGTTATTTAATTCTTTGGGCTCTTTTGTATTTTGTGTTACCTGGTTCTGTGTACCAGCAACCTAATTTGTACTTTGTCGGTCCTGCGCTTTCTGTAATAAAGCTTTTGTCTCTGTCAATAGGGGTGTTTACACGGCACACATTTGATCCGGCGCTGCACCGATGTATTTTGTTGCGATATAGTTTACACCGGAGCAAATTCTGTGGAGCGTTCACACGTACAACGCCGCTGAGCGTGGCAGCACCGGCGCAGCGTCGGTGCAGCTCCACTTGCGTTCACACGGCAGTTTCTGCAGCGGAGCAAAACGACAGAAAACAAATGAGTTGTCGTGTTGATTCTTTTGTAAACGTATACACAACTCAAGCAACTGCTGTACAGGCACGTCCTTCTCCTTCTCGGTCTCTGTGCCTTCTGCTCGAGAGTGACCGCCCCCCGATAATGTAAATCAACGATGACTTCAATGACACTCAGAAAAGCAAAAATGTAATGTGCCAAACAGAAAAATCAAGAGAGGAAATCACGAAATAAATTCTATGGGGCACGGGCGGGGTTGTGAACACACAACAAAGGAACAAACTACACAAACAACTACGAGACAGTCCAGTCTCCTACAAAAGGAAAGATGACGTTTGGAGACTATCCCCCCACGTTCTAGTTGAGATGGTATAACCCAAAAGGTGCTTTGCTACTGTTACCAGCCTCGTCTTGTGTCGTTATTAAACAAACACATGACAGAAGTCCGACAGAGCATGAAAGCAACGCATTCTCGCCGTACATAATCAACTCTTCTCATGCGAAGCGAGGCTACTCCCCCCTCACAAACGAGCATTTGCTCCAGAGCAAATTGTAGCGTTCACACGTGCAAACTTACATTGGTGCTGCGCCGCAAACAAGCATTTGCTCTGGAGCAAATTTTTAAACCACCTCCCTGAGGTGGATCAAATGGTCCGGTGTAAGCTGTTTAGCGGCGCTACGCTGGAGCAAATTCGCACGTGTGAACGCTCAACTGGCGGAGCGCCGGTGCTGTGTCGGACCATATGTTGCCATGTGAACACCCCTAATGCTTGTGGGATCTACACCTGTCCGAATTATTCCAGATCATACTACAATAATATGACCATGGATCCCCTAGATTTGGATAAGATTGTAAAAGCTTTGGCCAGCCAAGGGAGACTGGTGGGAGAGCAAGAGGCCACGCTTGTGGAGCTCTGTAACGCCGTCACCTTGCTGGCCACCCGGGTTGAGGAGTTATTCACACACGTTGAGCAGCTGGGCATTCGAGGGATGCTCCCCTAGGATCCACTGTCACCACCTCTTGGGCAAGCAAAACACTCTGGTCTTTTCAATCTTTTTCTTTGGTTGAACTTGATTTTTGGACTTTACTTTCCCATGTGCCAGGCCGGTGGTCCAGTGGTTAGCCCGGCGACCTCACAGTGCAGAGGTACCGGGTTTGATTCCAGCTCCGGCCTTCTTGTGTGGCGTTTGCATGTTCCCCCCGGGCCTGTGTGGGTTTTCTCCGGGTACTCCGCTTTCCTCCCACATTCCCAAAACATGCATGGCAGGCTGATTGAACACTCAAAATTGTCCCTAGGTGTGAGTGTGGCGCGGATGGTTGTTCGCCTCTGTGTGCCCTGTGATTGGCTAGCAACCAGTTCAGGGTGTCCCCAGCCTACTGCCTGAAGACGGCTGGGATAGGCTCCAGCGCCCCCCACGACCCTTGTGAGGATAAAGCGGATCAGAAAATGGATGGATGCACTTTCCCATGTTTTTCTTTTCCTCCTCCTGATGCTCTGTGACGCCACACTCCTCGCGGCGACCCTCTTCGCTTGTGATCCAGTGACGTCTGACCAAAAGTAAATGAGCTTACAATTTTTGCTACAGCTGATGCATAATTTTATTGGGAATTAAACAGAGCTTTACACGTCATTCAAACTCAACTTCAACTTTCATTACACACACTCATTAGTCCCGATAATTACCCTATAATTATTCCTAAGATTTTTCCCTTCGTCTAGCCCGGGGGTCGGCAAACCGCGGCTCTAGTGCCGCATGTGGCTCCCTGGAGCTTTTTCAAAAATGTTTGAAAATGGAAAAAGATGGGGGAGGGAAATATATTGTTTGTCTTTATATGGTTTCTGGAGGAGGACAAACATTCTTAACCTTTTCCAATGCTGTAAAGATATGTGGAATGAATATAAAATTTCAAAATTTCTGTCAACCAGGATTTGCGTCATAGCCTGCGACACACGTTTCTTCTAGCAGGGCGGGATGCAAGGCAGGTGGTTGTTAAAAATAAATAAATACATAAAAACGCGTTTCATGTACAATTCACCGAGGGCACTGGCAAAGAAAAGGAATCTGGGGGGCCGAGAGAAGCATTTTTAAACGGTACACATCAGCAACGATAGTTAACATTCTGCAAAAATTCTTCCCATGCCTGGATTATCTTTGGGGCCGTTGTGGCTGTTGCTCATTATGGCATGTGTGTTAAAGTGTGTGTGTGTGTGTGTGTGTGTGTGTGTGTGTGTGTGTGTGTGTGTGTGTGTATTCACACGTGTGCGGTAATGGGTCGATCGCGGGAGGTTGGTTGATCGAAAAGTAAATCTGTCAAAAAAGGTTGGACACCCCCGCTCTATAGGTTGCACTGCAGGGGGAAAAAAAAAACATTCAATCATGAAGGCTCATTGTGTAATTGTAGCCAACTTGGTCTTTTTGATCGAAGGCTAATGTAGCTAATATGGATACATACAACATGTGTTGACTTCATTGTCAGGCTTATATAAGGCTTTTAATGTTTGTGTGGCTCCAGACATATTTGTTTTTTGGGTTTTTTTGGTCCACTATGGCTCTTTCAACATTTTGGGTTGCCGACCCTTGGTTTAAACCAGGGGTCAGTAACCTACGGCTGAAGAGCTGCATGTGGCTCTTTCGCGGCGCCACGTGGCTCCCTGGAGCTTTTTCAAAAATGTTTGGAAATTGAAAAAGATGGGGGAGGGAAATATATTTTTGTTTTAATATGGTTTCTGTAGGAGGACAAACATGACACCAACATTCTTAACGTTTTCCAATGCTGTAAAAATGTGCAGAATAAATAT